TGCTGTTTGAAGCTTAAGAAGCTGTTGTAGGTGGTTGTTTGGGAGCTGTTAGCTGCTGTTTAGTGCAAGAAGTGTTGTTTGAAGCTTAAAAAGCTGTTGTTTAGTGCTAGAAGCGCTGTTTGAAGCTTAAAAGCTGCTGCTTTGTGCTAGAAATGCTGTTTGGAGCTGAAGGAGAGTTGTAGAAAGATGTTGTTTGGGCTTGAAAATTGTGGGAGTGTTAGAAAAATGCTGTGAGAGCTGTAGGAAAACTGTATAAGTGTTGTTTGAAGTTTGAAAGTGCTGTGAGAGCTGTAGGAAAGATGTAGAAGTGTTGTTTGAAGTTTGAAAGTGTTGTGAGAGCTGTAGAAGGGCTGTAGAAGTATTGTTGTAGTTTAGAATTGTTGTAGGAGGCTGTTTGGGAGCTGCTAATTGCAGTAGGAGAGTTGTTTGGAGTTGCCAATCATTGTAGGATGTTGTAGGAAGCGCATAAGTTATTTGGAGTTCCTAGCTGTTGTCTAGAGTTGTAGGAAACCTTAGGATCGTTGTTTGGAGTTCCTAGCGACTGTTATGACTCATTTTGTTGTTTTTACGCTAGAATTTCTATTTTATTTTTTTTTTCTGCAATTTATTTAATTTTCTGTAAATTATATTATGTTTTATGAGCTAACCACGCAACGGGAATAGTGAGAAGATGACATGTACGCGTGTATAGTTTATTTATTTATTTATTGTTATTTTTATCACTGTAATTTACTCTTGTTTTAATATATATCATGCATGTCTGGTTTTAATTTTGTTTTCAAAGCAAAATAATTTTAAAAAAATTAAACAACATTTTCAAAACAAAACAAAAGTATAACACATCCTTTTGAATTTGCAGGAGTCCCTCGGATGAGGTAACCCACGGTTGCTAACGAGATCTCCCCGATTTAAATGAGCTTAACAACTTATTTAGACTAAGAAAGTTCAAAAGAAAATAGTGATGCCGGAAGGAGGGTACCAGAACAAAAGAATTGTGGGATCCTAACTGGTGTCGCTCTGATCAACTTTAACCCCCCATAATGCTTGAATGATAACAAAATTTGTCACTTAAACATACCTTGTAAAACTTTTTTAACCTTAGAATTTAGGATTGTTACTTCAACAAAGAGTTTCGAACCATGTTTGTGGGCACAACGTTAAGGAGCTTGGATCGAACAACAAGAGGATCTTCTTCAGGAATCTCTCTCCTTAGTCTAAATAACAACCTAAAGGACTTTGAGGTAGCCCATCCAGCGCTATGTAAATCCTCACTCTTTTTATGCTCCTGTGCAACCATGTTGTGCAGTGTAAGTCCTAACTCACCTTAAGTTCGAGGTTGTCGTCTAGTACGACGTAAACACTCTTATCTCTCCAAGTTATTTGCATAATCGGAGATTATGCAAATGTAAGTCTCAAATAATAAAATTGGCAAGATTAAACATTTAAATAACATCATCTCCAAATTACAGCCACACAGCAGGATAGTTTGGGAAGTCACTGAGGGTCGTCCTTAGAATCTGTGACGTCCCCTACCTTATCCTTTATCCTGCTTTTGGACTCCTGAAAATAATTGTTCCTATTTGAGTCACTCCCACTTATTTTTCCACGTCCTACCGTGAAAATCTAAACTTTAAATTCTAAACTTTAAATTTTAAATTCTTGAAGACTAGTACCTCTGATCATCATCGAAGTTTTCTCAAGTGACCCCCATCATTTATAATGTAATTAACTATAGGGGTTTGTCTCTATAGGGAACTGAGAACCCAGATAAAAAAAACTCTACTTAATCATTATATTAGGTAAGAAACTTGTCGGTCACACATAAAAGGTTCGCTGGCCAAACAGATGTCACAAATCTCTTAGTTTACAAGATTGGGTCCATCGTCGAGATATACACTTATTTTCAGGAAGGAGTAGTATTCGCGGTATCGGGCACGATTATACAAATTATTAGACTAATGAAATTCATTTAGTCTTATTTTTCGAAAATTAAAACATACTACTTTCAAAACACAAACTATATACCTCTTATTATAAATTAATTTTACAAAATTATTTTCAAAATCAAAAAGTTGACTGACAATGCCCCATGAACTTCAGGTCGACCTTTTGTGTTTCTTTTATGGATAATTGATTTTGTGGAGTTATTATTTAGTGGCTTTCACTTTTTTTTTCTGTTTGTTCCATAGGTTATTTGATTCAGATGTTTTCCTTTCTAGCATGAACAATCAATATGTTGCTATATAATTATTTCTGCTCATTATAATCCATCTGTAATTTTTAGATGTTCTTGTTAACGTTGTCTGATTCGCATTTATTACCTGAATAGAACACTTCTCTATAATAGATTCACATTGACTAAGCCTTATAAGAAAAGTTGCATCGGCTATGATTTTCTCATTTATTACCTGAATAGAACACTTCTCTATGATAGATTCACATTGACTAAGCCTTATAAGAAAAGTTGCATCGGCTATGATTTTGTTGTACAAATACATTAAGACCTACGTTAATCGAACTCCCTGCATGACATCGAGTTATATTGATGATAAATGAGTCAGTGAGCTACTACAAGGACACCACACAAGGTTCAATAACATGTTTCATATGATAATCCATTTTTTTCGATCTGCTTCATGAACTACATAGCCATCATAGACTCCACGGCTCCTCAAGAATGACAACAAGAGAGGTGTTAGCAATAACTCTATATTTTATCACAGAATAAATCAATGAGAGGAGCGATTGATCGATTCCAGCATTTATCGGAGATAATTAACAGGTATTTCTCAATGGGTTTGAAAGATAAAGATAAGTAAGTCAGATGATCCAACATACGAGACGACTCCAACAAAAATTGCAAATGACCTGTGTAATTCTTTTTAACACATTACATTCAAACTTCAAAATGAGTTACGTGGCAATCACAGCTTTAACTGATCAGACAAGAAAGTATTGGAGCGATTGATGGAACCCACGTGGATGCGCGAGTATACAACACTGAAAAGGTCACATACATTGGACGGTGTGAACACTAACAGAAAATGGGATAGTCCTACGTGACTATAACATTTGTTTTAGCTTTGTGATAGCTGGTTGGGAAGATAGTGCGCATGATAGTTGTATTTTTGCTTATGCGACAAGAAACCATAGACACGGTTTCCCTCACCCACCTCCTGGTTTGTTAAGCTATAATTCATATTTATTTTTTTAATAGTTAATTACTAATTATGATTTTTGGGTCAGGTAAATATTACTTGATGAATGACGGATATCCCTTACAGAGGAGTATCTAAAGTCATTTTCCAATACGAAATATCACAATCCAGACTTCGAGAGATCTAGTGGTGGGGCTCCAGGCAGGAACAAAAGGCACACCTCCTTACACAACGTAATTGAAAGAACACATGGAGTGTGGAAGAATAAATGGGTAATAATGTTTGATATGTCGACTTACCCAATTCCAAAACAAGTGCATATTGTATTAGCCACGATGACGCTCCACAACTACATTCAACAGCATAATTCTAAGTCAGATGTAAATTTAACCTGAGCTGACAATGATCACATGTAGGTCCCGCTAGAAGCATTTGAATTTCACGTAGGACAATCTATATCGCAGCTAGAATTGAAATCACAAGAAGCATACACCCAAGATGACGAAAATGTCGTCAAAATGGCTGAATTGAGAGAGTGGATAACGAACGTCATTGTTCGATATTGACTGGACGTCTCTTGTTTATTTTGTCACTTGTATTATGAATATTTTTTGTTTTGCAATTTACATGTGTTTGACATTGTTTCTTTTCCATTTGAATTTTTTTTTTTTGTTGGATTTTGAGTTCCATGATCAGACTTTTGACTTTGTGACTTCTTCTGGATGTCCTATTGGTCACTGTTGGTTAGTGTCACATTTAAAATCCTAATAAAAACAACCAAGTTCCCCTCTTCTTTTCGATGCATCGGTTTATGAGGATCTTCTGGATGGTCTTTTTTGGTGATATGCACATATGACACACATGACATTGGTTTTACGTGGGTTAAACGCAACCAAGAACTCATTTTTTTATAGATTCTACTATCTTCTTCTAGTGACAAATTCGTTGGTTAGTATATTGAGTTCTTTGAGACATCTCGATTGCAAAAAGCCGTAATTAATTACTTCTTTTAGCAATTTCAACTTCTGTTATGACTAATGGATTGTCTTTTTAATCATTTAGAAAAGATAGGCTCCAGGATTTCAGGGAGCTCCCGATGAGTGATCTGCTACTGCGGACTACAAACTTCCCTACTTACGTCACTTCAAAAACATAGCTACGGGAAAAAGTTTTATAGGTGCTCGCGGTGGGTAGACAATCCGAAGAAGTGTGACTTCTTCTGGCGAGCAGACAATCCGACAGATTTCATTGGTGGGTAGACAATCCGAAGAAGTGTGATTTCTTCTGGCGAGCAGACAATCCGACAGATTTCATTGCTGATAGTGATCGAGGTTAGATGGTATCTCTGGAGGACGATATAACTAGTGGCATACGCCGTTTGTATTTTAAAATTAATATTATCATATTTTTAATTGTAATTTTTTTTTTTTTTTTTTAAAAATTTTAATATTTTTTCTTTTTTTTGTACACGATAATTTAATTTTAATATTTTTTCTTTTTTTTGTACACGATAATCACTCTTATGTGAGGTGTGTATCTTATTTTTTTCTATTGTTCTGAAATAACTTTTTATTTCGTTAGTATCAAATATATTGCTATGACCGTTCTGTTGCAAACAACATTACTGCACTGGGGCAGAATGATCATTTATCCAAAAACAGCTACAAATCAGCAATTTTATAATAGCACAAACCAAACAACCAACCAACTTTTCCGGATTAGCTGTTTATCAGTAGCTTATTTGGATTAGCTGTTTTTCAATAGTTTATTCAATAAGTTGACAGACCCTAAATAAAATAAATCTAAAGAAATAAGAGAACAATGCAAGCACACACTTCATACCAGAATAGATGATCTTGCTCTAGTTATGCCAACATTCATCCGCCGAAAATCAGAGACAAATCCAATATGGTTCTTGCCATTCTTGCCGTTTGATCTAACACATGAAAAGATTGCGACATCCTTTTCCCGGCCCTGCAAATAGAAGTGATAGTAGTTAATGTCCAAACACAAGCTTCCATACTCACTTATAAATGAAAATATTTTGGCAGCTTTACTAAAAAAGCTTTCGGGAAAAGATTTGGTAGGCATTCTCCCCTTAAAAAAAAGTTATTTTAGAAGCTACACTAAAAAACTTCTTCAGAAACTGGAAAGCACCAAATCATTGCACCTGGAATCCATCAACAGTATTTATTTCAACGGATTGATCATATTTCTCTCCAAAAGTAGCTCGAAATTTTTCACGAAGGAACTTCACTTGATAACGATATGGGGAAATGATTGCCAATTGGGAAATCGACTTCAGAGTTGAATATTGGCTCGCCAGTTTATGATACATAAGCACAATGAATTCTATTTCATCTTCATTGACCCAAGAACCCGTTCCAGAAGGCTGGCATTCAACTCCATCTATGTCAAAGAAACAGAAAGGACCAAAGCACCGGTATTCATGCCATGTCCTTTCTGTACTTTTGCTCAACAATTCTCCGTCCTCCAGAGAACCAGCATAGAATTCTTTTGAGGGAAAGATGCTTATCTGCGACAACAGAATTTGAAGTGTTTGATTCCCTAATGCGCTCAGATGGGCAGGTCGGTGAAATAAATTAGAAACCGAGATCTAACCTCTGGATGCATGCGGTATTGGGTTTTGAGCAAATGTACAGGAAAGCCAGCCTCCTGGAATCTTTTAAATAAACTTGTCCCATATCTGATAAAAACAAAAACATCAAATTACATCTCCAAGAAATATTTCCATTACTCAAACAAAATAACACAATGATAATAGTCACCCAAATCTCTCAGCTGTTGGAGAAATTACTGTGGCTGGCAATTGAACTGGATCACCAACCTGAAAAAATTTATTTTACACAGTAAATAGATACTCTGAATTGTACAGATAACTAGCTCATCTTTGAGATTGATAAAAAGGAACCATTAAACAAAACCGATTAAAAAAAAAAGTGTTATATGCCTGACAAAAAATTATAGGCAAATAAAACTAAATTTCATCCGAAACTACACTTCAATATTTTTGAATCATAGTGATCAAGTGAATTAAAGAAAATTTGAATTGAAATATTTGATAAATGGCATCTATGCAGATATGGTGGTGACTCAAAATACAGTAGGATTTTCTTTAAAAAATGTTACTAACAGTATTAAATATAATGGTTTTATATTAGGAAGCATGTATATTAAAAAACTTAATAATTGGTAACCTAATCAATAAAGAACTCTAAAAAACCTAATCAATTTGGTCATATTACTCATTGCGGTTGTGTTAAAGATGTGATGAAGGAATTGTCATTCGTAGTTTTGGAGAGAATATTCTATCAAGCAGAACAACAAGATCAATCACTTAACATGAATCACATGCAGTTTAAATGTATTTCTGAAGAACTGAATGTAGCATTGTCTTTTAGTACTGATGTCTGGACTCAGCATGCTCAAAAAGAGCAAATGGCTATTACGAATTTTCTAGCTAAACTCAACTCACAATATGAAGATGTCAATTCATAGATCTCATCTAATCCATAAGTTACTACTATGAGGAAGTCTATACTAGGGTATTGTATACTATCTTGAATTCTCAAGCATCATCTGTACAACAACCTAGTATTACAGAGGTATGCAGTTTTCTTGGTCTAATCGATGATTATTATAGAAGATCTGTTAAAGGATTTTCAGAGATAGTTATAGCATTATCCAAGTTGATGAGTAAAAATGTCAAAATTTGAGTGAACTACAAAATGTGAACACTATTTTCAAATAATAATAAAAAAAATTTACCACTGCTCCGGTACAAACTATTCCATATGGTACAAAAGAGTTTCACATTTACGTGTCATTACGAGGCTTGGGATGTATTCTAATGCAAAATAAAAAAGGTAAAATAGCTTATACATCTAGACAGTTGAAGCCACATGAGAAAAACTATCTTACGCTTGATCTGGAGATAGTTGTTGTGGCATTTGTTCTCAAGATCTGGAGATAGTATTTATATGGTGTGAAGCGTGAAGTCTTCACTGATCATCCGAGTCTAAAAATTATTTTCAAACAAAAAGAGTTAAATTTGGGACAGAGAAAATGCCTAGAGGGCTATGATCTAGATATACAATATTATCCTGACCGAACAAATGTAGTTGTTGATGCATTGAGCCGTAAATTCACATATAGTGCAATTTGGATTATTGCTCAAGAGCTAGAATTCATTAAAGAAATTGATGTCTTACGATTGTAAGTAGAATACCAGAATGATATGAAACATTTATATTAGTTAACGGTGCACCCAACATTGATAGATAGAATTAAAGCAACAAAAAAAGTTAACAGTGAATATCTGAAATTCTTGAAACAACTTTAATCAGGAAATAGGTCGGATATGACTATTGATTAAGGTGGTGTATTTAGAAACAAGTTTCAGCTATGGGTACCTGATAATCCTGATATGAGACAAAATTATACATGAGGCTCATCAATCAGAATACACAATTCATCCAAACAGCACAAAAAATGTACAAGTATTTGAAATTGATATTATGATAATCAGGTATGAAGAAAGATATTGTTGAATGTTTCAAATGCCAAGTTTGTCAGATTGTAAAGGCTAAGCATAAGGACTCGACAGATTACCACAATCATTACTTAAAACTGAGTAAAAATAGAACAAAATTGCTATGAATTTTGTTATGGGATTTCCCCAATACAGACAATGTCACGATAATATTTGAGTCATTGCTGACAGACTAACAAAATCAGCTCATTTCTTGTCAGTAAGACAAACATATTTAGTTAGAAGGTTGGTCAGATTATATGTAAAAAAATTACCAAATTACATGGAATCCTAAAAATTATTGTTTCTGTCTGTCACGTCCAGATTATGGAAAGACATTTAACAATACTTGGGTACGCATTTGCGTCTTAGCACATTTCGTCCATAAAGAGACAGACAATCAGATATGACAATTCAAGTAATAAAATTTTGTTGAGGCTTTGTGTCATTGACTTTAGAGGCAGTTGGAAAGAGCACATCTTGGTGATCTAATTTGCCTACAATAATAGTTATCAAACCAGTATCAAAGTAGCTCCTTATGAAGCACTATATGACAAAATGTAGAGCTTCATTAAGTTTGGTCGAAGTGGGTGAACGTCAAATGTCAGGTCCTAAATTAGTCAATAAAATCACAAAGAAAATCAAGTTTAATAGAGACAATTTGAAAGTTTCTTAAAATCAACATTAGAAATATTATATAACCCAAACACAAAGCAGTTGAATTTGAAATGGGTGATTTTATATTTTTAACTGGCAGTTCAATGAAAGGTAAAATCATATTTGGTCGGGGAAACAAGTTGACTCTCATACAATGGCTTGGTCCAATTATTTACAGATTAATTTTACCTACTGATATAACATATATTTATGATGTGTTTTACATCTCAATGCTGAGAAAATGAGTTTCAAATTCTGACCAGATGATTCCACAGGAAGACATTGATGTACAGAAAAATTCAATGTATATTGAAGAGCCTTGGAAAATTTTAGAAATAAATATCAAAAAGTTGAGCAACAAACAAATTCTTTTAGTCGAGATAAAATGGAATCAAGAGTCTAAAAAAGAAGGTACATGTGAAAAAGCAGCAGACAAATTCTTTTAGTCGAGATAAAATGGAATCAAGAGTCTAAAAAAGAAGGTACATGTCTAAAAAAGAAGCTACATGTGAAAAAGAAGAAAATAAATTCTCTTTTGTTTCAAATTAATGTACTAAAACAGTTCTAGGTTGATATAATTTCTAATGCTAGTTTTTTATACATCAGATGTCTTCAACAGTTTTACAAAACCAGATACCCTACTGAATTCTATGAGTCATACTACAGCTATCTCAAAAAACATAGTTTATTGAAGTACACTTAAATTGCATCATGTTATTATTTTGTTAATAGAGCTGATTTTTAATCCTTACGTCTAGTTGATATGATGATGCAAACTTATGCCCCAATACTAAATTTGATTTAGGACAACTTAAGATCTAGAATTTTCAAATGCAACCATCAAATGCAACCATTAAATGTGATGCGCCAAGGCCAGTCATCTTGAGAAGTGAAAACAATAGGCAGTCAAGTTCCGCAGCTAATAACTTAGGATCTCCATAACAGTCATTTACAACCATTAGAACCAAACAACAAAAACTAAAATTAGATCCTAAAAGCAAGCTTAAGGCCCAGAATATCACAGAACAGAAAAAGCGCAAATCAAATCAGCAGCCAACTTTAAGGCCTAAAAAAGCATTTGAATAGATGACCAGCGGCTAGGAAAAAAAAAATCCAAATAGTGGAGGAGAATCAATGTATACAGAAGAACATAAGAACTTGTTCACTATAAGGATCATCCCATGTATATTTAACAAAATGATAATAATAATAATAAACGAATATATAAAAAAATTAACAAAATGATAATAATAATAATAAACGAATATATAAAAAAATTACTTAAACAAAAATAATGTAAAATCAATATTCAAACTGTCAATTTGGTCATCTATTGCACATTTTCTGCCTTTCTGAGAAGTATAAATTTTAATGTTTGCATCATTTCCTCATCCTCATCACAATCAACGTGGAATTAGCTTATACATTTCAACTCGTGCAGAGCATAAATCAACGGCCTCCAAAAAGGCTAAAAAGTAACATTAAAGGCAGATGCTCCAGTGAGCATGTCCACACAAATCAAGGCACTTGTCACCGTTCTAAGAATCCAAAAAGTGTAAGCAATCAAAGACAAGTGTTGGGGATGTTTGGAGAATAGTAAGAAAGAGTAATCTGAGAATGGACAAGGATCAAAGGGGAAAATTTTAGTATGGCTGCGGTCCAACAGGGAAGTAAGAAGAGACACCAATCGGCGACACTTTCGACGAGGTATGGATGATGGGGAGGATCCATCACATGTTATCTTTAAAAAACAGATTCACCGCTTAAGAAAGAATAAGATAAAACTCTCCTAATAGGAAAAAACAAGAAATAATAGTCTCCAAACAACATAAACCAAAAACAAAAATCCCCCAACTAGTCCACAACAAAAAAATATATAATAGAACAATCAAAACAACCCTAACCCTAATCAAAAACAAATAAATAGAAGCCCTAAAGGATTGGTCGACCCAAAAAGGTTAAAACCTAAACCAAACCGCTTTAGGTTCTCTCACATAGCCCCGGTTTACCCACAACATTTTCCCTCAATGGAAGATCATCGAAAGCACCTGAATCCTCATAGTACGGTGACAAATCAACAACACTACAGGAGACAGAAATATTATAATCCCTGGCAATTAATCTTAAAAGCATTGTTATTAATCCACTTGACAACTTTGAATGAACCATCATGCTCTAAGCTTGAGTTTTCCAAATGAACATGCAAGAAATCTCTCATTTATCAATTAGATCCACACTAAGTCACTTTCCATAAAAATAATAGCTTTCCGGGACTTATTAGCCTTCTTTTGATATTTAGTGTCTATTTGGAAATTCACTTCCAGCCTACTCATGTAGTGTATAAATCTCTCAAACTCTAACCTCTGAATCCATACTAAACTAGGTAGCTAGCAATATGAGCACTAACTCCAAAAAAATGAGGGTTTTGCTCATATATAATCTCAAATGGATAACGACTTGTGGACTAATTGTAGGCAAATTCAACCTATGGAAACATTAAATCCCACTATCTGATGTTCTTTCTCACAAAACACTTGATGATATTTTTCAAATTATGATTCACCACGTCTATCTGACAATTTGTCTGAGTGTGCAACTAACTACATTGAAGTTTTGTACCTAACTTGTCCCATCAATTC